TTACCTATAGATTTTGTTTTCTTCTGATTTCCATTACTAAATGTAAGTTCTAGGAAGACAAAAATTTTCAGATCTCCCTCTTCCCCATGGATAGTACCAGGTATATGTAAGCATTCAATAGTGTTTAATAAATGAATGTATGAGTAAATATATTTTGATCAAATTTACTAAGTAATTGCCATTTTCTCATTTGGGTAGTGTAGGATTACTTTCTAGAAGGAAATGCCACATGATAGTTGAGGGTGGTTTCTGGAGTTATTGTGCATTGAATCTTGATTTTAACACTGGTTATCTGTTTAACCTTGGGCAAATTACTTCACATTTCTCATCCTCAGCATAAGATGAATAAATTACCTATCTCATAGTTAGATAATTGTATAAAGTACTTTAAAAAACCCAATCTAGTACACTGTATGTCCTTAAAAGTCACTAGTACTATCATTAAGACAATCTGTGAAAAGAATAATATTCTTTATGCACTCATTGCCTAAGTGAAATAGTCATGACAATTATGTAGATATTAAAAATATTTTGCCTCAATCATAGATTCAGTTTGAGGCATATGTTAAGTATACATTATTAATATAATTTACTTTCTGAACATTATCAGCATATTAATTGTATTTATTTGACAAACTCCAATTAAGTCAAACAGAGTAGTGTAATAATTCCAAAGGTCAAGTTGGTTTTGAATTCTACTCTGTCATTTACTAGATCTGTGACCCTGATCAAGTTAATAAAAAACTTTAGGCTTCAGTTCCCACATTTGGGACATGGGTAAAAAAATAAATCTATGTTAGTAGTTGAATATTAAGCAAAGCCCAATGCCTGGTACATAGCAGATCTCAATAAAAGGAAGGTCAAAAAAAGATAATTGGATATGCAAAATTAGAAAACAGTGTTTATGACAGAACTGTATCAATTATACAAAATTAAGTGAAAATTGAAATGAAATTACATTTTTCTGACTCATGCTCAATCTTACATCAGAATTTATACTTTAGAAGAAGTGGTCATTTTAAAAAGAAAATTTAACATGAGAAATAGTGACATATTTAACAGAAAATCACTTAGCCCATGATTTCCTTTGTATTGCTAAATATGAAACATGTAGCCTATTAGTACTACTTTAAGAGATGCAAGGGTTTCTTTTTAAAATTAACACATCTGAATTCCTTAAAATTCAATGTTGTGCATATAGTTGTCTTCTCTCTCCTCTCTCTCCATCAATTTAAATTCATAAAGATACAAAGCTAAGAAACACATGCACAAAACTTGTGCTCACTAATCATCAAGGTTTTTCTTATCTAAGAACTTGCTATTAATGTTTTGTAATATTGGCCATGTTAGGCAGTCTTATACACCACAGTTAGCACCAAAGTCACTCGGGTGCTGGTTGCTTCACTTAGTTATGGTGGAGAAGATGGGAGATGCCTTTGCTCAAGCAGTTTGCTGAAGCCACAATGAGACAGCAACCACTGCACATCACACCAGAGTAGACGATGGAAGTTAGGTTCTACTATGTGACATGAAGCTCAACTGAACTTTTTTAGCCAGACCAGGACTGGATACAGATGTCTAGAATTATACTCATCTAGGAGCTAGGGAGACTGAGCAAACAGGACTTTGTGCTTTAATTATTGTAAAGAGTCTCAAAATAGTTCAGGGGCACCTGGGTGGCTCAATCAGTTAAGTGTCCGATTTTGGCTCAGGTCATGATCTCACAGCTCATGAGTTTGAGCCCGGCGTCGGGCTCTGTGCTGACAGCTCAGAGACTGGAGCCTGATTCAAGTTCTGTGTCTCCCTCTCTCTCTCTCTGAGCCTCCCCCACTCACACTCTGTCTCTGTCTTTCAAAAATGAATAAATGTTAAAAAAAATAAGTTAAAAAATAGTCCAAATCCCAGGCAATGCCATTTCAGAAAAGAACTTTAGAAGCTATTGCAAGATAGCATTTTGAAGCTTGCCTCTGTGCACTGATGTTCATAGTTTCCATGTACAGGGGAAATGATGAGATAGGTTTGAGGGTGGGAAATGCACAAGTTAATAGTTCATTATTTTGTTTTAACTTCCAGGTGGAATATAAATACAAAGTTTTGAAAATGCCATAATCTCTGTCACTGTTACAGGGATCAAAATGTGGGTATTGCCTACACAAGAGATGTGGGTGTCCTTTAAAAATCTCCTGCTTAATGGTCCTTAATGTTAACACACTGATCAGTACAAAGGATATTATAATAATGTGATTCAACTAATCAGAGATGATATTAGCCCATGGGACACCTTTGTGCTGAGCAATCTAGTCCAGAGCATGTGTCTTAGCCAAGGGAGCACAGGCCCTGTCACTATCCCTCTTACTGGATGTACTTGTGCAGGGGACAACTTGCACATCAATACATGGCAACACTGAAGCTTCTTTATGTCCAGACTATGCTATGTTCTTTATGTGCTTACACTTTATAGAGCTTACACTTTATAGTCATCATCTTGCGTTTCTGATGAGAAATCTAGACAATGACTGAGGGAGGATTGAATCTATAACTGCCAGTATCAAAATCAGTGTATATTCTGTTTATATAAGATGTCTTCTACTTCTGTATTCCTTTCATCAAAATATATGTACCAAGGGTTTTAATCTTCATGACACTTCTGTGGGTCCTGCACAAAGTGTAAGGGAGAGAAGCATGGCATTTTTGGACAACCTCAAATCTGATCTACTTTGTAAAGCTAAGACTTTGCCACCATTGTTGGTAGGCTGCTTCAAAAAGCACAAGTTTCTGACCTATTTTTGGTAAACATAGATGTGTCCAATTTAGTTTATAATAATAATTCTCAAAGTTTTAACAGCTAGGGCTTTTTCTCCATTTTTTAAAAAGAAATTATTTTCTCCCTCTTAATCCCCATACTACAAAAATACATGTTTTATGCAGGTTGCATTCACTACATAGAATTTGTTTATCCATTTTCAGATGAAAAGATCTATTAAAGAGCTATGGCTTCATGACTTTAAAGAAAAGCAACTGATCATAAATAGCAACCAAAATAACACCCAATGTTTTTAATAGCAGATGATATTTAGATAGTGTGTGCAGAAAATGTTAGCAGAAATGCCTGTTGAATTCTGGTTTCCCCAGTTGCTTTCCATGCTATTTAACCTCCCCGAGACTTATTTGTCTTTCTATGTATATGGAATAATAATTCCAGTCTCATCCAACATGAATGAGAGATAATAGGCAAGTGACCTGGCACACAGTGCCTTCTTTGTGCATAGTGTCCACTCAGTAAGTGTTCTTTTTTTCTTGTGAAAGAATATAAAAGTTAGAAAGTGTTTCAGAATAAAAATAATTCATCAATGAAAATTCCCAACTCTGTGAATCCCTAGGCATGGAAGGCATTTCTATCTTGGAAGACAACAGTGTGAGTCCAGAGTCTCCAGTGCCTCACGGGTATCAGTGGGGCCCATCATGAGAAGGGTGTGGCAGAGCATATACAAGGTGTGTGTGTGGTGGGGAGTGATGCTCAGAAACAAGCTGCTCTCTTCCCTATCAGTGTTCCAAAAACTCCAAGAGAGCAAGGCTTTCTTGTTATTTGAAGGTCTTGAGGAGCTAGATGTTGGCAGTATAGATGTGGCCAAGAAAGCCCAGGGTCTGGATCAGAGATTTGTGTGAACTTTTCGTTTACTGAAAGTCCTAGGGAAATCAGAAGTGACTAGACGTGTGGCTATTCCCCCAAAAGTCATGAGGTTCATGATGGAGTAGCATGTTATAAGGCTGAAGGAAGGAAGCTCCTGATAAATTAATATTTTTTCAGTCTATTTTTAAGAGTACACTCATGCCTTCCTTTCCCACATCCTTATGAAAGTGACTTTGTTCACCATAAACTTGTTATACTAAAATGATAGTTCAAAAGCAAGATGTATTTCCTTCCTTTTGCTAAAGACTTGATTAATCATCTAAGGGAAGAAGATCTTTAAGGGCAGCTAAAATACCACCATCCCCCAAACCCCAAGCTTTTAAAATGCACTAAATTATTTGAGTAAACCATTTACAATTTTATTTTCTTTTTGCTTTTCACACACAGACCAAAACCACGAACCCAAAAGATTTTTTTTTTCAATGCACAAACTATGCTCTGAGAATTAGTTGGGTGCTTTTGTAAGATGGTTTCACTTTATCTGATCAAAAAAAAGGGCATCCAGGGGGTAAAGTATTAAACACCAGACTGATTGGAGTTTAATTATCAAAGTCAATTTATGTTTATTTGTTCAACACACAATGACAACTTAAAAAAATCACTTTCTATTACTTTCATCTAAGAATTCAAGGTGTTCACTTATATGTATTGGTCCTACTTACCAACCAATGAAGACTCATTGGATTCATGATGTCAGCCTACACATAGTATTTTTCTGTTCTCCCTTTTGCTTTAGTCATGTGTTTCTGGGGGAAAAAATGATACGTAAACCACTGATTTTGGGAAGTAGCACTAGTCTGGAATTCCTTTGTTGAGGGGAAAATTTTCCTGACATTATTTAATCGTTAAGAGTATCAAGAATTCTCTGAGAATCAAGTATTGAGTGTTGAATCCCTTTTACTTTATGCATATTGGTATTTTAAAGTATAGAGTTGTTTCTACATTGGTCGATTGTCCAACTATACTGTTCTAATCTGTTAAATATTTGGTTTGAGTTCTTCCTACATATAACACATTTTCTTTTGCAAACTTTATTACTTATATGTTAGTTCTTCCACTACAAAAGCCTGGATTTGTCACTCTTAGCAAACTGACAGCAAAGAGTGGAAATAATTTTCAAATATTGTAACCAAAATTTCTACCTTGTTGCTGATAATTGTTTTTCATCATTCTTAGGCATTAAATGAGGTTTGTCTTTAAGGATATAGACTGCCAGCCTATCTAACAGTGAGCTCAGATCAGCCTCAATCTTTTCAGCAAGTAAGAGTGAAGGCTCGTGATGTCCACATGATTAGTAACTCTTTTCCAGGTTTTGCAATGGAACAAGTATGGTTGCTGTTGCTTCTAACAAGTAGAGTGCTTCTGGGATCTGCTCAGTTTAATGGCTACAACTGTGATGCCAACCTCCACAGTAGATTTCCTGGTAAGTATGAACCTAATCTTTTCTTTAATTGTATCATGAAAGAGTGACCATGTTTGAATAGTAAGGCGCTTAAATACATATGGAAAATGGAGGGGGGTGGATATCCATCTACGTTAAGTGGATATTAACAAGTGGCAAATGACAAAAGACATTTTTCTGGAATTGTAATTTATATCCACATTAACATACAAAGTGTTCATCATAGTTAATATTATTATAATGGCTGCTCACAAATGTGAAAATTATTGGCTATTGGGTGATAGAATAAGGAGAGGCTAATTTCATCAAAATTTGCCTAATTGATGCCTTTTTCTTCCCCATAAGTTAATTCAGACTTTCCAAATTGCCACTATATGCTAATAGATATACTTAGGAATAATATTTAAGAAAATGTGAAATATAGGACATTACTCAAAAAAAAATTATTTCAATGCAATATTGGTCATTACCAAAGCACACAGGCCAACTTCAGAATGCATGGTTCAGCCACCATCAGTATTGTGACAGATATGAGATTTTGACTGTATTGATGGACATATCCCACAGGTTTCTAAAATCTGTATTCAATGAGAAGATTACTTACTGAATTATCAGCTTTCCATTTAAGCATTCATCATTTTTATATCAGCTAAAGTTATAGAATCACAGTTAAACATTTACAAAATAAAAATAGAGAGTCTGAAATCACTTTTCCAAGTTTGCCATGCAAATGGAAATGCTTTCTGTCATGTTTTATATTTCTCAAGCCTGCCGGTACTCCTGTGTTCAGAGCATGCCTGAGGAACAGCATACTTGTAAAGAGCAATCAGTAGGTAGTTGTGTAGTTGGTGTGGGATTTCTAATTTATATGAAGACAGGTAATTTGGATTTCTCCTGAATAAGGGCCAGAGTGTGTAGGAATGTCTTCAGGAGCCCAGACTTGGTATGCAGGTGCTTGGCATGGTGAGAACAACCTTCAGTTCAGGGTAGGGAATATCTAAAGGTAAGTCTAGCAAGGTATTCTAAGAAGGGTTGTTAATGATTTTGAGTACTATCCAGGAGGGCCTTTAAAAATTTTTTGGGGGGATGGAAAATTCAAACATACACAAAAGTAGAGATTAGTAAAACAAGCAATTGTACTGATCATCTAATTTCATCAGTTATCAACACATAAATTTTGCTTCATCTCTCTCTGCCTCTTACCACTGCCGTTTCTTGAATATTTTAAGGTGAATTCATTATTCATCTTCAGAAGGTATATCTGATGGAAAAGAACTCAAACAAAATCTTCACCCTTCATGTACATGCCTAATAAAGCTAACAATAATCCCTTAATATATTATCTAATACTCAGCTAAATTGTCTCTAAAACATCCATACAGTGCACTTGTTGACATGTGTCTTTAGCCTATTTTAATTTATAATGGTTTCTCACTGTCCCTTGCTTTTCTAAAATGCTGCTTATCTCTTCAAGTAATATGGTCATTTGTTTTGTGGAATTCTGACTTTTGATCTGGTTGATGCAGCTTCAATGTGTCATTTAACACACTCCTCTTTTCCTATATAGTCTATAAACCGATTAGAGCTAAAGGTTTGAGCACATTCAGGTTCAGTTGTCTGGGCAAAAAGACTTTGTATGTTATTTGTGTGAAGTATTTTGTCTATTTTGTCAGCAAACAAAATTTGAAGAGCCATTAAGTCCTTTTTAAAGGTATTCTTCTAAGCATCTGACATGGCCATATTTTGTTTTAGAAAGCCAACACTGGGAAAAGCAAAAGATAGAATGAAGTTGGAAGAAACTGGAGGCAGAGAGAAATGTCACAAAGGCAGTGTCAGTGGGAACAGGGGCAGGAGACAAATCTTAAGAGATATTTTTGTGGTGGACTCAACAGCGTTTGAGAATTGGTTCCATTGGGGAGGTGAGAGAGAAGATGATAATGATGTCTTAGATGATGTTATGAACTTGGATAACTGCATGTTGATACTACTGACACCAAAAGTTTAGGGCACATGGATGTTTTAGAAAGAAAGTTTGGTCTGGGAAATAATGAGTTTGAGGAGCTTCTAGAATTTATAACGGCAGCCTCTATCCAATAGTAGAAAATATAGAGAGGTTGATACCGAAGATAACTGTGTGGGATCTGTGTCCCCGTGCAGTGAGTGAGTAATGAGTGGGGGTATAGGAAACTTAAAAGTAGGAAAATAGACTACTCTTTAGATAACTTTGGTAGTGAGGGAAGGAGACAAGTAAACTGAGCCAACAATTTAGTAAGATTTAGGGATTAGAGAACTAGAAGCAATTGAGTATACACAAATAAAGGAAAAGTATGGGGAATACCAATAAGGAAATAATTGATGTAATGAGGAAAAAAAATATGGAAAAGAGCAAAGGTACAGGTGGAGAAGTTGAAGTTGGGAAACGGTAGTTGTTACCTTGATTTAGGAGAGAAGGAAAAATAAAAGACATGGACAGCGAAGTTGAAGGATACTAATTGTGACATGGGAGGCAAAGGCCCTCAGGAGAGTGAGGGCCCAGAGGTCTGGCTGGGACCTAGGAAAAGTGGCCAAGCCTTATTCTGTTATGCATAAAGAGGAGACCAAAATTTAAAAAGATTACTGGGCAGAGATCTAGCTGATGTTGTACGTATATACTTGAAAAGGTAAATAAAAGAAGTAAATGAGCCAGGAAGTGAGAAGGACAGCATAGGGAAATATGGTACATTTAAAAAATGATGTTAAAACATTCAGTTACAATGGTGCCCACTGACCACCTACATCAAAATTACCTGGGATGGTTATTAAAAGTGTTTTAGCCCAAAACTGTTTACTGTTTTATACCAAATATGTATTGTCCAAATCTCTGATTGTGGTGCTGGGAATCTGTATTTTAAACCCTGCAGAAGAGTCTACCATGCATTTAAGGTAAGAACAACTGACACAAAATATACTATTATTTTCCTTAGCCCATTATTCCAATTAAAAGCATAGTCCTATGTTAGGAAATAAAATTAAAAATAAAATCTTCCCCCAATCCAGAAATGCTCTCTGTAAGATAGTAGAGATGAAAACACTTATCATTGAGCAAGCATTAACTAGAATGTGATGTTCATTGTAAGCAATCTATCAAGAGATTGCAGAGAGAAATCTTGCTCTTTCATATAGCCAAGCAGATACAACCCATTACATATATTTTCAAGATACCATAACTAGTCCTCAAATAAGAGGACTTGACAGCATCATTTGTCACATATAGTTCATTCTAAATATACCTGGTGATTGGGATGACCATCTGTGTTAGCACATTGGCTTTATCTAGAGGAAAAGTAAACTCATACCTTTACAAAAGGAAGTACTTTTGTAATTTGGAGCCATGCTTCCTCCCGGGTTAGGATCCTGTTCTCCCACAGAAACTGTGAGGTTGGAGTGTTATTTTCCTTGATGTTTATACTTTCAAGAGATGGTTCCCAGATCTTTGAATAAGATTCCCAGGTCATACAGCAGGCAGAGGCCTATCTAGTCTTCAAAGGACTTATACATTTCAAAGAAAAGAGAAAGTATTTATAATTACAGGTTTTCTGGTGTAAATGGTTTAAGAAAAGGAAGGGAGAAGTTTCTTTGCTTATTCTAAACAGGGAGAATTAAACCTCTTATTTTTAATTTGTATTTGACCTTATACATGTTAGCACTTTTAGTATTGTCCCACTTAGACAGCAAATACCCAGACTTTCCAAATGTACATGCACGCACACACACACACACACACACGCAATTTATTTATTACAATGTAAAATCTATATTAAAAAAATCTGAGATCCAATAACTCCAAAGTCCCAGGAGAGGCTTTAAGTCTATAGAGGTGTTATTTTCAAGTGAGCCCATTTTTGCAGGTTGTTTGCAGAAGACCAGAGTGAGCAAATAAAGCATAAAGGTTAATTGCTCACTCCCCTCTTGACTTTTGGCTTCTCTTCCACATCAGGATCACCCTTCATGTCATCAGGACCTCCACGAGCTTCTCAGATAGTAAGCCATGGGATAGAATGAGAATGAGTCTGGCAAAGGAGAGGGGCTATCTAAATGCAAAGTAATGTTAATAATGATGAAAGTAATCATCTCACCCTATCTGACCTTTGCTGTTTCATGACATTAGAACTATTTTCCTTAATTTCCATGGCATTTATCCTTGGACCTAGGGAACTGCCATGGTCTAATTCATTTTAAATTTAAAGGGATACCATTTAATTTTAAAGGTAGTTAACTCTTGACTATCCAAGCTAATAGCAGGGAACAGACTTATACTCCACTGGCATTATGGTAGTGCTCTTCCCAGAATAAAATTCAAACCACAGTTGACTTTTAGAGTACCATAGAATTATTTGCCCTAAATTAAATATGTGGATAAATGCATTTGGCCTCTATGACTGACAAACACCTTCTGGAACTGTCTCCTTTTTTTTTTTGAAGATGGCAGCATATAAGGCTTAGCCTTAACTTCTAAGAAGTCTTTAATGACAATCAAGGAAAGATTAAGCTTCTGGTACCAGAAATTTGGTGGCCTGACACTGTCTTATGGTGAACTAACCACTCATGGGAAACTAAATATAAGTCAGTGTTACATAAATTGTCATTTTGTATTCTATTTAAACTATTTGTATTCTATGTAAACACTAATCAATCCATTTATTGAATGATACACACATTACTGATTCTTTCTTGTATTCCTTAGACAAACCTATAAAATCTTTTAAAATCATTTTATAATGGGAAATTGAGGATTAGCGTTTGTTTAATGATGCAAAGCTAGAAATTGACAGAGATATAAAACCAAGACTCTTTCCATCAAACCATGATGCCCTAAAGTGAATTCTGAATACAAATTTAACAGAATCACGATGGAATTACACATTAAGGAATCTGAAAAATCATATAATAGGAGAAGTTGTTTAGTCTTTTTAGTACCTACTTGACTAAGGAAATCTTTTTTCCTACAATACCAATTAATATTTCAATAAACAGCAATGTTT